GCACTAGAGTGCCTAGTTTTCAGTAACTCTTGCGGTGGACAAGATAACTCGAGAACGGATCATCTGAAATCAAAATGTAAAAAGATTTCGTATATTGTATTTAGTATATTGTATTATCTATAGTTAATGAACGAAGGATTTGTCAAAATTTCAATTATTAAAAAAATAGCGACGGTTTAAACAAAAAGTTCATTTTTCAAGGTATTCAATTTTCGTGTTTTTTGCTGTAAAAAAAAAGTTTTTGATTAAACTGTTACGTCCGCCTTTTGAATACGATGCACGGACGACGAGCGAGAGGCCGGTTTCGCCAACACTATTTGGGCGATATGATACGATGGGTTTGGCAGGGGCGCAAATATCCCGCTCCTGCAACCATAGTCATTTGGATCGTAGAACTTGGATTCGCGAGAGCTGAGGCCATGTGCAGCCTTTGTTCTAACAAAAAAAACGAATCGCTAATACCGGGGAGAGGCGTAACCGGAAGGAGTGAGGGGCGGCTTTTTGTTTTACCGAAAGCCGCTGCAGCCCCGCTCTGTAGACGGCTGGGATTTATCTCAAAACCGACAGCGGCCCTTTCCGGAAAGGCCCCCGCGCGCCTCGAACTCCATTTTGAGATTCGAGTCTGACCCACGAACTAACACAGTATGGCGTCCCCAGGAGAAACGTGGGGCGGCTTTTTAATGCGGAAAGCCGCTGCAGCCTGATCCCATAGGCGGCCGGAGTTTGTCTCAAAACTCACAGCGGCATCCCAGGGAGGCCCCCGAAGTAACATGTTTTCACAAAGTTATGGCTCTCCGAAGATCCAAGCCTTGAAAACAAGTATTGACACCACAGACGATCACAAACACTTAGCCACTTCACAGATTATAAAAGAGAAGAGAAAAGAAAAAAAAATAACAAAAAAAGAATTTACAGCATAAGAACTGAGATTTTAATATGGCACTTACACTATTAGATATATTTATGTAATATATGTATATGTATAGAGATATATATGTACAAATATGAATTCCGCGAAAAGAAGAAGGGAACAAAAAAAAAACTATTCACAAAAGAAAGAAAAAGAATGATGAATATCGAATTTAGAGTTACAATTCGCTACTATGCTCCCGAAACACAAACTTCGATTATAATTATTGTATCTACGAAATGCGCAAAAGAAAGTGCTAGCTCTAAAGCGAAGTGGTCGATAAACGAAGTGTGAATAAGTTTCTCGGAAACGAAGTGCGTTGCGCTCTTAGCGGACACGGTTTATATACAAATCAGGGGGTGATCCCCGCGAGGACAAGGGGGATTGTCCTTTCCGGAAGTTACATCATGAATTTCTGTTTCCAGAATTGTCTGGAAAATTCTCGGAACTTCTGTTTATGTCAAGTGGTGATGCTGAGCGGTAAGGGGAATTGACCCTTCAATGTGTAACTTATTTATGATTTTACTCTAGATCTTTCTATTAGTTAGTTCAATTGATTTTCATTTATTTGGAATTAATGAAAGAGATCACACATCGATGGGCGCAACCCCCACAAGATACGACATCGCGCTACAATTTCTGCATTCGATTTATAATTTGCTGAAATGGCAATTCACCGAAACGATGGCCTGAGTTTTTATGGACGCAGTTGTGCCTAATGTATCGGCTCTCTGTGTGGGTTCGATATGCCTCGTCGCTTTTATTCCTTATTTATTTAAAAGGATTTTATTTATTTAAATTAAGATACTTAAGAGTGAAGTAATTGGTGGTTGTAGCTACTATTATATTTATCATTTTGATGTTGTTTTTATAGCAAGTTTAATTACTGGTTTTGGATAAACAATACTTATCTTGTATATTTTAGCATTGGTGCTTTATTTTGCACTAGTATATAGTTTTTATGTTTATCCAAATTATGCCATCTGATTACGTGCTGTTTTATTTGTTTTTACTTTTAATTCGCTCAAGTATCTTAGTTAGTGCGCGCGCGCGCATGAAGGATCGCTACAGCTGGTAATCACGCGATAAGAGCGTGATTACTTCCTCGGAGCGGGACGCTAGACGGTTGTTATGACAACCGCCTCGCGTTGCCGCAAGTGACGTTCGCCGCCTGTACATATTTTTCGGCGAACGTTACAAAACTGAAAATCCTTCGTTCATTAACTAGCTATTATCATAATAAATAAGTGGTTCAAAATTCGCATTGATCGGATTGATAGTTTTTTAATAATCGTGTCCAACGCAAAGGCATTTTCAAAAAATCACAATTTCGAGATAATCGCGTTAGTTTAAACTTAGTTTCTTTCATGTTTGAAATTAATTTATTTAAACTTACATCGAGTTGTCGATTCCGGGACCATATTGTACCCCTTCTGCATCCTCCGCAGCCTCCAGAACATCGATTTGTGCTGTCTTCGAGCCATTCTTCCGTTCTTTTGGCTTTTATTATACCGAGCGGCAGATGCACGACACAACAGCAACGTCGCGCTATAAATAGTTATATCTTCGAAACTAATGCTCCGATCGTTGCGAAATTTGGTGAGAGTTTTCTAGAGACTATGTACTTATAGAATATGCAATAAAAAAAATGTTTTTTTCCGACCAACACGAGTACATATAACCCCTTAATATCGACATACAGTATCTATGACGCAATAATAAGTTTGTTTGCCTTGCTTACACAGCTTATACTTTTACACTTAAAATGAGATAAATATATTATATATCACGGAATGGAAGTAACTCGTTACTTATAACGAAATTGGTTACAAGTTATTTTTTTAGTAACTTTGCTGGTAACAGCGTTTGTTTTTTTTTTGGTAACTGTAACGTAGTTACATTTTTTGGATAACGGTAACGAATTTTACAGTTACTTTTATCGTTACTTTGCATACGATTGGACACGTTATTCTGTCATACCATAACAATTACATATTATTAATTCCGACAGCTATAAATGTGGTTGTACATTGAATGTTTTTATTTAATACAGGCGTACAAGCATTTAGTTTAACTTAATCTAAACATCGTACACATTTGTTCTAATTGTGCAGTGTAACTTTACTCTGTACATTTCTGTGTACATGTTTGTCGAGTAATTGCAAAACACACATCTTTTTGCAAAATTTCTGTTATACATTTTAATTATAGCGTTATAATTTTCTTTCTATCAAAATATTTGATTTACAGATAAAAGTATAGATTAAGTAAAAATATAGCTGTAATATAGATTATGTGTATTTCTTAATTTATCTTTTAATTTTTAACTTATTTTGTATTTCAGATAGTTCTATACAATCCTATATAATATTCTAGTATTCTAAAAAGTATTAAAAAATTCCTGAAATATCTTAACATAGTTGTCAACTGCCCCGCTAAACATGAAACCTTCAGGAAACGTTACATTTTCACTGTAATATAGTAAGTTTGTAACATTTTGTATGTATAGGTTCATAAATGGTTGCGTAAACGATTAAAAATAACGTTTTATTTGTGTCATTCCGTGGAACATGCCAGAAACGTCGCATTTTCGCTTTAAACGTGACTAAACGTGACCATTCGGAACGTCACATAAGAAACATTTCGTGACATGGAAGTAACGTTTTGTATAAAACATTTTCTTTGCAACTTTGAAAACATTGCTTCAACGTTATATATATAATGTTTTTAAAATATTCATTTCGCCACGTGTCATCAATATTTCCTTTGAAACGTTAACTTTTATCCCATCGCAACAACATAATATATGCTACAATTCTGAAACGTTAATTCCCCAACGTTACTTAAATATTTAATATTTTACTCCTTACAGAAAAATACTATTAAGAATCAATAGTTACTATTGGTTAGGTTAGGTTACCAGTAGTTACTACTGAGACTCCAGTAGTTACTATTGATGATTCAATAGTTATTATTATGACTCCAATAGTTTGAATAATATTGGATCCAATAGTAACTATTCGCCTAATACATTTCTGCACTTGCGGAAATGATACATACACTAATACATACATACACTATCATATAAACACATAAACCATCCGTTTTTAATATTTCCATTGAACAGATATATCACAATTATACAGACTTTAACATACAGATTCGTGGGTCATCGAAGTATAGCAGTTCCCGTACCATGTCAAGGTTAAGCATGCAAGGCGTGGTACAACTTCGGATGGGTGACCGTTTGGGATGCATCATGAAAAAAATTAATTCTCGAATTTAGGAAAATTTATATCGAGGAAAATTTTTTTTTCACGATTTTATTCTAAAATTGATGCTAATTAATAATACTTATTTTAACAATCTAACAGTAACTAGGGAAGTTTTAGAAATGTAGCTAAAACGTTGCAAATGTGACGTATCTATGTAAAGTAAAACAGGCAAGTTTTAGAAATATCGCGAGAACGTTGCAGATGTGACGTCGCATACGTAAGGTAATCGACTCAGGACATTTCTGGTTGCTAGGACGTTATCAAAACGTAAATGAGACAAAACGCGAAATGTCACATAGTAAGAATCTAACGTTTCAAAACCGTTGTTGCAACCTAATTTTGTTTAGCGGGGCTGTAGCGATCCTGAAGTGATCTTTGAGTTAAGAAATATATACAATAGCATTATTTCAGAAATTATTTTGCAATTCTATCTTCTATGTGATATATCGGACATATGTATATCTCAGTTTGTTGCGTATATTTTACTGGTTTGAGAATTTCGAAATTGTGTTTAAAAAAAAATCCAAAAAAAATTAAACTATACATAGTGTCAGTGTTATACATGCTGTATATGTATATATCGCTTTTATTAACGTTTGAACAAAAAATACTGCAAAAGTACATTTTCAGATAAAGTAACGGAAAAGTAACGAAAAGTTACCTTTCGAGTAACGGTAACTGTAATGAGTTACTTTCAAAATGCGATAATTAGTAACGGTAGTTACCGTTAACGATCGCTGATGGTAAGTTGCATATACGATACTCTTCCTCCCTTTTTTGTATTTAGAGTACATGGATTTCTAAGGACAATGCCGTTAGCTTGGTGTATAACGTAGTGGAGGGTGGCGAGGTCTCGTAGATCTCCGTACGATTTGAGGTGACTGTACTCGATGTGGCGGAGACGTTTGTGAAGGTGGAGTTGCGGGTAATGTCCAATAACGCTCCTCTGGAGTGGACGGAATCGGTGGTGAAGGTGGTCCTCGTGGTGACGGTGGTACCTGCAAATTAGCTTTATTGTGGAATGTTTGTGATATCGTTATCATAAAAATGAACTTTACGAGGCTTATCCTTCTCTTTTGGCCTCGTGCCATTAGACTGGTCCTCAGCTTTTTTCTCACTAAAGGCGCGGATATGATCTACGTGCCTCTTGAAGCATCTGCCCTCATAAACTATTTTGTATAATGTAGATTGCCCAATCGCGAGACAATCCTACCTTTGACCCATTTATCCAGACGTAACTTGAGAAATCGTTATATGCTTGCTTTCTATTGTACTGAACTTGATGTAAGTACTTGTGAAGAACAGGAAGTGCATAAATCATAATTTTATGATTTATTGATGCCACTAATTTATTGTATTCAAATATATTGCTTATTTTAGTGACGTTGTTTTAAAAATTATGTTATTTATTTATTAAATTATATGATTAAGCAAGAAAAAGAAAGGCAAAAAAAAAACACAGATAATTCTATACATACAGTTCTAAATATTGATTTTGTTGTATCTTCATTGCTCGAAGGCATCCATATCAGGACATTGGACCCACTTGCCGTTGCAATGATAGGAATATGGGGATGACCTACGCAGTGATGTCTCCACATCTATACATTAAATGAATAAAAGTTATTTTGTGCAACACATACTACGAAGAAGAAACATTTGTTTATCAAATGCACAAAATGAAAACACTTTACGAATTTGTAATCTTCTATCAACCACTGTGCCGCAATTCTTTTCTTCTTGTCATAAATGAATATATCACCAAGATGGGATGCAGATATAATAAATTCACTTTTAGGTCCGAGAAAATTGATTCCAAGTATAACTGCAATCACAACACATAACTAAGACAACTTAATATCTACTATTAATAAATCATATTATAATTATTTAAAGCGTCGCTTTTTCAATTACATAGACGAAAGAAATATGAAAAATGTACATAAAAAAATCTTTAAACAATGATCTAAGAATAAAAATTAATTAACAAATAAACCATTCAATAATGTTACTGTATGCTACTTCTCGTTCGAAATATACTTAAAATAAAGAGCACTAAAAATAAAAAAAATTAAAATACCGGGAATATAATATTAATATAATTACGTCTAGTATATCTCTCGGCTACCTCAGCAGGTACACCAGGTACAGAACTAAATTGATTGCTTTCAAATAATGTATGATTCAAATTTCCTTCACATGACCACATTGATTTATCAAATAATAATGTTTTGGAAAAATCACGCAATGTGAGAATCTCTGTCCCATCGTGATTATACATGGCGATTGTTGCATAGGCGTCACAATAATCCATCTAATACATTTAAATTACATATGTAATTAAAACTCATCAATCGTCGCAAGGAAAACTACATACACGGTACATAAATTCACACAATTATAATTAACACTAACATCCTGTTACAATGACTCGATATGGCATTTTCACTTCCTATGATTTTAAATCTTACGAGATATCTTACGAGTCTACGGATATCATCATTCAATTAAAACTCATGTAAAAAACATAAACCCTGTAGTATTTCTTTAAATATTGATAAACTTTTCAGCAATAGGTTTGAATCAAACTAATACATACCTTGTCATACTTGGTGGTCCACAATTGATAAAGTGGTTTCGAAATATTTCGCTGATCATACACCCTTACGCAGGGAAAATGACCGCTGACACAAACTTCATTACTATTAGAAGGATTACAATGTATACTTGTTAACGTACTATTTCGAAATTTCTTTATATCGAGCAATCTATGGATATGAACATAAATGTATTTAATATTATAATGGATATTAGTATATATAACATGTGTATTAAAGAACAAAAATAAACACTTTTATCATGTAAACTCAAAATTTATTAGTATAACTAATACAAACATGAATCCTA